AGATCCTATTTGAAGTGTATCGAGCTCCAGCATACTTTGGGTGTGAATTCCCTTGGGACAGGGTGTGACCCACAACAATACCATGGGCAAAATCATCTGAAGTCTGATCAGGTCTCGGGTAGAAACAGGACTGGCAGAGGGGTAACAGGGATGGCAGATGTGTGGGAAGAAACCAGGTGAGGTAACAAGGAATAAAGGGAGCATGTGAAATTAATTAGAGAGAAATCGGGATACGATTAGGAAAGTATGTGCATCATCATTATCTAAAACCAAGAGAAGAAATTGTCAGCTCCTACTGGGTGCCAAGTTGAATTGACCTTAGAAGTGCAAGATGAGATGATTTGAGTGGAGTAAAAAGACGAATGTCATCTGGAACTGAGTTGAGAAAAGGAATAAGTGGTAGTTTGAATGGAACAGGTGTTAAGAAAATGGTAAAAGAGAACCATATTGACTGGATGGTGAAGATAGGGAAGTGTGCAGGAAATGAGATCATGGGAGGAGATGAAGGAGAATTAGATTAGGTGCAGTAGATATGGTAAAGGGAGAGATTAGAGTGACTTTGTGAATCGCAAAGGAGGTTAGAGTTGGAAATGGACACCAAGGTCATATTTGACCGCGTGTTACATTAGGGAGCCCAAGCATAACTGGAATCCCTAGGTACCGGGGACAAACTCTCTGCAGTTGGAATCATACCCAGTATATAGGAAGCTGGTTGTGTTAGTTGGAGGTCAGTCGTCTCAGCTCTAGGACACCTCCGCAGGAGTTCCTCAGCGTAGTATCCTAGGTCCACCCATCTTCAGCAGCTTCATCTATGACCATCCCTCCATCATAAGGTCAGAAGTGGGGATGTTTGTCAATGATCGCACAATGTTCACTGTTTGCTACTGCTCAGATACTGAAGCAGTCTATGCTCAAACAAACGCAACAAGATCTGGACAAATGTCAGGCAATGACTATCTCCAACTAGAGAGAATCTAATAACTACTCTTTGACATTTAATGGTGTTACCATCACTGAACCCCCACTATCAACGTCCTTGGAGTTATTATTGACTAGAAACTCAACTGGACTCGCCACAGAAACACAGTGGCTACGAGAGCAGGTCAGAGCTTGGAAAACTGCAGCAAGTAACTCAACTCCAGACTCCGAAAGCCTGTCCTTCACCTACAAGGAATGTGATGGAATATTCCTGCATGGGTCCAGCTCCAATAACAGTTAGCTTGACACCATCAAAGACAAAGTGGCCCTCTTGATCGTGGCAGTGGTGCCAAGCGTCCACTCCCCCCGTCCCCCACCACCAATGCTCTGTAGCAGCAGTGTGTACTGCAGAGACTCACCAAAGATCCTTGGACAGCACCTTCGAAACCCACAATCCCCTTTTTCTATTCATTTGTGGGATGTGGATGTGGCTGGCTGGCCAGCATTTCTTGCCCATCCCTAGTTGCCTTTAAGAAGGTGGTGGTGAGCTGCCTTCCTCAACTGCTGCAGTCCACCTGCTATAGGTTGACCCACAATGCCATTAGGGAGGGAATTCCAGGATTTTGACCCAGTGACAGTGAGGGACCGGCGATATATTTCCAAGTAATCACGGTGAGTGGATTAGAGGGGAACTTGGAGGTGGTGGTGTTCCCATATGTCTGCTGTTCTTGTCCTTCTCAATGGAAGTGGTTTTGGGTTTGGAAGGTGCTGTCAGAGGATCTTTGGTGAATTTCTGCAGTGTATCTGTCTAGAAGGGCAAGGGCAGCAGATACATGGGAACACTGGGAAGCCTGCAAGTTCCCCTCCAAGCCACTCAACATCCTGACTTGGAAATATATTGCCGTTCCTTCGCTGACATTGGGTTAGAATCCTGGAATTCCTTCCCTAAGGGCATTGTGGGTCAACCTGCAGCAGCTAGTTCAAGAAGCACCTCCTCACCACCTTGTTGTGATGTCCAAGTTGTCCAGCCTCAACTTGTAGCTAATACACTCCAATCGAGGCAACATCTTGATGAACCTCTTCTGCACCCTGTCCAAACCCTCTACATCCTTCCACCAGAACTGTGCACAGTACTCCAAATGTGGCCTGACCAAAGTCTTGTACAGTTGCATTGTGACTTGCCAACTTTTATAGTCAATGCCCTGACCAATGAAAACAAGCATGCTTGTGCCTTCTTTACCACCTTATCCACTTGTGTTGCCACCAAGATCCCACTATATATCAATGCACCTAATAGTCTGGCCATTTACAGTATTTGATCTTGTTGAATTTGACCTCCCAAAATGCATAATCTCACACTTGTCTGGATAAAACTCCATCTGCCATTTCATTGCCCAAATTTCCAGCGATCGATATCCTGCTGCATGCTTTGATATCCTTCCTCACGATCTGCAACTCCACCAATTTTTATCTCATCTACAAACTTATTAATCAGACCACAGACATTTTCATCGGAATCATATATACACACAAACAACAGAGGTCCCAGCACTCATCCTTGCAGAACACCAATAGTCATAGACCTCCACAACTACCCTCTGTCTTCTATGACCAAGACAACTTTGTATCCAACTTACCAATTCACCATGGATTCATGGGGTTTGATCTCCTGGACCAGCTTACCATGAGGTCCTCATCAAATGCTTTACTAAAGTCCAAGCAGACAACATCCATTGCTTTACCCTCATCAATCATCTTCGTCAGTTCCTCAAAAAAACTCAATCAAATTTGAGAGACAAGAACTCCCCTGCATAAAGCCATGCTGACCAGCCCTAATAAGTCTATTCTTCTTCAATGCAACTAAGTCCTGTCACTAAGAATCTTCTCCAATAATGTCCCTACCACTGAGATAAGGCTCACTGGTCTATAATTTCCTGAATTATCCCTGTTGTCCTTCTTAAACAAAGAAACAACATTGGCTATTCTCCAGTCTTCTGGGATCTCGCCTGTAGCTAAAGAAGATACAAAGATCTCCGTCAAGGCCTCAGCAATTTCCTCCCTTGCCTACTTCAGCATCCTGGGATATATGCCATCTGGTCCTGGGGAGTTATCTACCTTAACGTTTTTCAAGACATGCAACACTACCACCTCCTTAGTATCGATATGTCTCGGAGTATCAACAAACCCCTCTCTAAACATACTATCATGCATGTCTTTCTCCTTGGTAAATGATCTTAAATTTCCTCTTACAAAGCCAATTTGACTAGTTAGGGCTGTTTTGAAGCTGATCAGATATGACTGACTGTCCAGGTTGGCATAAATTGATTTTTGCACGGCCTCTTTTACCAAACATAAAGGATTATTTTCTCCTACACCATCCATTTCCCCTCTGAATACCTAACAGCTCACTATTGCTTCTGGGCATGAAGCTAGATTCACATTGCTTTGAATGTACAATTCAATTACAATCACCTACTGGTTCCATTTATGGACAAGTTTGTAGGAGGCTTTGGAGAATCATAACTCACATCTAAACCTTGTCCAACTTTGAATTTGGATATCCCTGCACGCAAATCACAAAAAATTTAGCATGCAACATAGCAGGTAGATATAACCATAAACATAATTTTCTTTATTACAAGTAGAATAGAGTGTACAAATAAGGAAGTCTTGCTGCAGTTGCAAACTAGGAAGATGTTTCCTCTCATGGGGAAAATCTAGTACTTGTGGGCTTAAAAATGAGGATTTATTTAACACCAAGGTAAGGAAGAGTTTCTTCCCTGAGAGGTTTTGTTAATCTTGTGTTAATTTCCACCCTGGAGAGCAGTGGACCTTTGATCATTGAATATATTCAAGGCTGAGTAAGACCAATCTTTGATCTACAAGTGAGTGAAGGATTATAGAGGACAGGTGGGAAAGTGCAGTTGAGGCCACAGTGAGATAATTTGTGATCTTATTGTATGCCAGACCAGGTAAGCAGCTGAACGGTCCACTCCTCCTCCTCTTGATACAGCATCGGTTAATAAACGCTGAGCTGAAATGCCATAAATTGCTTCAGCCGTCTAGATTAGGCTGAATCTTAGATGCTGCATTCGTTTGAGGTCATTGAGTTACTTGGAAAATTCAAACCTATTGAAATATTGCAGTGAAGAGAACATATCTGACCTTGGTGTGCCATAAGGACCCAGACTTGGACAGTCTTTCTTTTTTAAAAGAAAATCTGAATTGTTTAACTTTGAAAGGGGGGGCGGTGGTGGTTAATAATAAGAAACGAAACAATCTTATGTTAAATGTAAAAGTCAACCCTGGGCACTGTTTCAGCTAGATCCGACCTTATGAGACCCAGGTGCAAACTGGTAAAGGTGCAAGTTAATTACTGCTATCAGGAGGCTCCTATCTCAGATTGGGGTGGACTTACAGGTAGTGCAGCAAGGAGACAAATTTATAAATAGTTGAGGCGTGTTAATCGTATTTTTCTACAGAGCATAAGCCAACCATAGCTTGCATTTACCTCACCTTTAACATAATGAAATGTTGCGGTGCACTTCTCAGGACCATGATAAAATTTTAGAAACCTCCATACCTACGGTTGGCTCTTTGTGGTGCCCCCTTCCACCATTAATTCGAGGTGATGGCAAAACCACACACAGTGGCATCAATATTCGTTTGTTGATTGATCAGAGGAAGCCTTGTTGCCTGCTCTTAGCACTATGAAGACCTTCTGTGTAAGCAGGACGAAGGCTACCTCCGATTAATTCTGCTAATACCACACACAAAGCTGGAGGCTGGAACCAATCTATTCTCAATGTCACATGGAAATTATTGCATACATTAAATGTTAGAATAAGTAGTTCCCATGCGTGTAAATGCACTTGAAGAGGTCTGATCACAATATCTTTCGCAAAAACAAATATGGCATTATGCTTAGTCCTTTGTTCTGCCACTAGCCTGGATGGATGTAAAGAAAGCTACATTTTGTTTTTTTTTCTCTCTCTCTCTGTCTCTCTCCAAATCTTCCAGATCAAGCTTTCAATTGTGCCCAGGGTGATTTATGAACTGCTCTTTCATTTTTTTTGTTCTAGGGTGCCCTCACTGTAAGAATACTATCCCACATTTCACAGCAGCCGCTGACCATTTTAAAGAAGAACGAAAGGTAATTTTATGGTTTAAGGGATTGATCCCATCTCTTAAACTTAGTGTAGAATAATTCACCTTTGAATTTGCGCAAAGTTGTGTAAGGTACCCCTTCCCCCTTCCTCACAATGCCTCCACCAAATGGACTAAATATGAAACTTGATACAAATGAGCACAGAGCTGGTGTTTTCCCACGATATAAGGCTAATTTTGACGGAGGTGGCAATAAGTGCACACCACAGTCGCTCTTTGTGCCTCTTGATGTACAAGAGTGAAAGGCATACTTGTAGAAACATAGAAAAAAGGAACAAGAGTAGACCATTCAGCTCCTTGAGGCTGCTCTGCCATTCAATATGATCATGACTGATGATACAACTTAGTACCCTTTCTAATATTCCTGCTCCCAACATCTATACGAGCTGGAAAAAGTGTATCAGATGAGGCTGGGGCAGTGAAATCTCATCACTTTATTTGGACAGAAATGTAAGGTTGTAACAGCAAAGCAGAGGGGGAATGGGACTAATGGGATTGCAGTTTGAAGAGCCATAGCCGAGTTTTAGGACTGAATGGCCTCTGCATTGTACTCTTAAACAACTGTTCATCATTTGGTTAGAAAGATTGCCTGTGGGCTGCCTGTATCCTGAGACATGGAATCACATGCAGTGAGGACCAATGTATTCAACACAAGCGTCCTCCATTCTCCTTGTCTCAGATGGGATAAGACCAACCCCGTCTTGTTGGACCTTTGACCGAAGAGACAAAGTTTTAGTTTTTGAATCATTGTGTAGTAATTCACAATACTGCAGTGCATGTAGTTAGTTTTTTTTAGACGTTTTGATGATTCTGCAAATTTAAAGGGAATTTACTTGGCAGTAAGCTTGTGAATACTTGTGCATGTGTCTGCCAGCAAGCTAAGCAACACAAACTACCCTGTAGAGTAAAGAAGCTATCAGCTCAGCCAGAAGCTTGCCTTCCCTTCTTTCATTTTATTTCCTTTTCCTCAGTCTCTCACCTTCACGCTGTTTTCTTCCAGCTTGGAGATTGGAATATGAGAAAGCACACTATACTTTCAACAAAGTGCCCCTGCCAGCTGGTATAAAGGGAGTTTGTGCTCATGATGCCCTGTGAAGCGATCTCTTGATCCTCAGTACAAGGAGAGTTCACGATCCAACTTTTGTCCATGTACAGAGAAGAAATCGCAAATGAATTCTTCACTATGATCACCTCTTACCTATCTTTTAATGTCCTCCTAGATACACCACTCAGTTCTATAATTGTCAAGGGCATCCTGGTTTCTCTCTGCTTTTCCCGTGTTCCATGACCTTTCTACCATGGGAAACGTAAATAAATCCTCTCTCATAATAAAATCACAGCAACTGGAGCAGGAGTAGGCCATTCAGGCCTGCAAGCCTTCTCTGCCATTCAAGATTATCATGGCAGTATGAAGGAAGTGCCACATAGTTGTTGGCTGTTGCTGAGTGGGTGGCACCCTTGCCTTGTGCTCGTAGGTTCAAGACTTACCCCAGGTACCTGGGCACACTACTCAGGCTTGCACTCCTAGTTTAGTACTGAGGGAGTGCTGAACTGTGGGAGGTGCCACCTGGTGGATGAGATGTTTAACTCAGGCTCCTTCTGCTCTCACGCGGACATAAAAGATTCCCAGGCATGATTCCAGGAAAAATAGGGAAGTTTTCGCAGGTGTCCCTAACCCATATCACTAAAAGATGTGGCTATTATTTCAGTTTGTGGAACATTGCTGTGCATCAATTTGCTGTTGCATTTTCCTACATTACAAATGTGACTGCACTTCAAAAATGATTCATTGGCTGTAAAGTGCTTTGGGATGGCCTGAAGTTATGAAAGTTGCTATATAAATGCAGGTATTTTCTCCAGTACAAAGTAAGTACTGGTGACAGGAGACCATTCACCCCATTTTAACCCATCATTTGAAGCGGACTTCAGCTTCCCAACCCTCCCAAATATGGCGTTTCTTAAATAACTCTGTTTGCATCCTTTAGGCTTTTCACCTCTCCTCTGACTGCCCTCATATCAGTAAGAAACTCTTTCAGTTCATGGAGCTATGCTTTCTTCCTGTTCCCTCTTTGCATCCTGTCACCTTTTAATGTGTTTACGTCTGTTGTATTCATTCCACTGAACCTTTCTGCCTTTTCCCTACATTAATTTTAGGATTTGTTTTTGCTGCTTACATTCCTTCTGATTAATTTGATGTCTGCTTTGGTTACATGTTTGTTGATTCAAGTTTGTATGTGTCCAGTAGCATGTTCAGCCTTCTCTCTTTAAATTTCCCGCTTATCCACTGACTAGAGGGTGTTTCTAAACAATAAATGTGTTAAGGCATGTTTCTTTATATCTTTAAAGTTAACTCTTTAGAATTAATTATCTGAATGTTGGTCTTCAGTCATTCACAATCTCAGGTCATGTTGAACTTGAAACAAACACAGCAGTTGCTGGAAAAACTCAGCAGGTCTAGCAGCATCCTTGGAGAAAAGGCAGAGTTAACGTTTTGGGTCGAGTGGCCCTCCTTCAGAACAAAGAAAAGTTCTGAAGAAGGGTCACTGGACCTATAACGTTAACTCTGCCTTTTCTCCACAGATGCTGCTAGACCTGCTGAGTTTTTCTAGCAAGTTCTGTTTTTATTTCTGATTTCTGGCATCTGCAGTTCTCTGGTTATTTTTGTTCATGCTGAACTTTAGTTATTCTGTGGTCTCTATCCCACAGGAGAACCACAGCCTCCATGCCATGTTTAATACGGGCTGCTTAGTGTTGTCAAACCTAGACGTGGACTGTCGCTTGTGGCTTAACTGATGTATTTATTTGGTCACACGTTACAGTTACCAGCATGGATTGCAAAACACTTTGGCCTTAGCAATTTATATTTGATTGAAGCAAGAACAGAAAGTGCTGTAGAAACTGAGCAGGTCTGGCAGCATCTGTGATGAGAAAAACGGTTAACATCTCTATTCCAGTGACCCTTCCTTGTTTGAATTCTCTTCTATTAACGTTACATTCCCTTATTCGGATGAGGTGCAGCCCTCTTCTTCTGATGGATGTTCTAAGTGTATATGATAGCGTCTATTCTTTCGAGATTGCCATTTGTATTTTGTGCCTGGAGGAAGAGGGAGGGAGGGAGAAATGGTGACCAGCTTCATTAAGCTCTCGAAGTGGATGCTGTGAAGCCATTCTTTATCCACTTCAAATGAATTAGGAGCAGAAGTAGACCATTTAGCCCCTCTGTCTTCTCAGTAAGACAATATCCTTAACTCCACATTTCCTGATAATCTTTGACTCCCTTGTTAGTCAAGAATATATCTACCTTCACCTTAAAAGTTTCCCAATGACACTGCCTCCACCACTTTTTGGGGAAATCAAGTTCAAAGTCACCTGATCCTCAGAGAAAAATACTCCTCCCCATAGCCATCTCAAATGGTCAGCCCCTTATTCAAACTGTTTTCGCTAGTTCCAAGGTCTTTTCCTCCAAAGGGAAATATCCCAGTATCCAGCCTATCAGATCCCCTTAGAATCTTATGTTTCAATACAATATCTCTTTGTTTTCTAAACTCCAATGATACAGGTCCAGACTGTCTGACCTTTCCTCATACGACTCCTCCCAAACAAGGTATGTCAGAACCTTCTCTGAACTGTACCTAACACATTTACAACCTTCCTTAAATGAGGAGACCAAAACTGTACAAAGCACTCCTCACCAACACACTATGCAACTGTGGCAAAGTATCACGAGCAAAAACAGAAGTTGCTGGAAAATCTCAGCAGATCTCACAGCATCTGTAAAGAAAAATCAGAGTTAACATTTCGGGTCTGGTGACCCTTCCTCAGATCCAAGTTCCTCAGATGCTGCCAGACCTGCTGAGCTTTTCTGACGAATTCTGTTTTTGTTCCTGATTTATAGCATCCACAGTTCTTTGGTTTTTTTTTTGTGGTAAAATATCCTTCCTTTTATATTTAATTCCCCTTCAATAAATGACAACATTCCATTTGCTTTCCTGATTACTTGCTGAACCCATATACTAACTTCTTGTGACTTGTATAGCAGCACATTCAGATTTCTTTGTACCTCAGAGTTCTACAATTGCTACTTGTCCATTCTCCTTGCCAAAATGGAAACATTCACATTTTACCACATCACACTGTTTCTGCCAAACATTTACCCAATCACAACCACCTTCACCTCCTTCCATGTTGGTAACCCAAGAGTCATAAGATGTGCACATTTCTGTCCCTCACCTACCCTGATGGTGTGGGTGAGATCATAAATGCTGCTAGACAAATGGTGGAAATGTACGATGCTCGGGAGGACTTTCCTGGTGAGCTAATTTATTATGCACAGGGCTAATGATTCCATTTTGACATCCCATGTGATCAATTCCAGAATGCAAAACATGGGAATAAGAGTGGACTGTGCAGCCTGGTGATCCTATTCCACCGTTCAACAGGATCAGTCTTTACCCCATCTTAACACCGTTTATCTATTTTGATTCTGTAATTGTTAGTTCAACAAAAAATCTGAACAATTCCAAATTCAAACATTTCAGTAAGCTCCTAGTCACAACTATTTGGGAATGTGGTGGAGGGGTGTGGAAGGCATGACACAGCTCTGGACTTCTACTACCCTTTGTGTGAAGATATTCTTCCTGATTTCATCCATGAGAAACTTGACTCCAATTTTATGGTTCTGCCTCCTTGTTCAGAACACACTGCGCCATCTAGACCATATAGTTCTTCTTTCTGGGCCTCTGTCAATTCCTTTAATCATCTTCCACACGTCAATTAGAATGCCCCTTCATCTTCTATACTCCAGGGATTGCAAGCCTAGTCTATGTGACTTGACCTCATAATGAAACCCTTTTAGCTAATATCATCTCCCTCAGTGAGTTACAGAACTTCCAATTTTAAGGAACTAAATCTAGGATCACCTAAATAGAAAATGATATGGTCTGTCAGAGATGTGCTATTGACCTATGCTTCAGTATAACCTTGCTT